CTGCAACCCTCGGCTGTAGCAGATGTCCATGGGCGGCGGTATTCACTTAACGTCAGGAGAACCGTCTGCTCATTTGACAACGTTTCGCATAAAAAAAGCTGTAACTACCAATAAGAAAAAGCAAGTACCGTTTTACGGAACATATTATGAAGTCTCAAAAGTAAATATTCATCGTCTTTTTACTGTTACCTATTTATGTATGCACAAGGATCTAATTTGAGAAAACTAAATACAATTTCTGCATAGAATACATAAATTCACCAAACATGCGAGGAAAAATAAATAATTTATAAATTTGTGTTGTACTCAGTGTGCAAACAATTTCGCTGTGATATTATTTAGATACCTATAATTTTGTGAGGCGCCAGCAGTGTAATATAACACCGTACAATCATAATTATGAATTTTACGGGCTTTGACCAAAAACCATCTCGTATATGCTATCAATATATTACTAGCGAACCGCCCCGGCTTCGCACGGGTGCAATGTATTAGCTGCTGCCTGCGACTACGACTGCGTAGAAAGCTGAAGGTGAAGCTAGGCTGAAGGTGTAACATTAAGACAGAAGGACAGATATACATAAAATATGTATATAAATTATGGTCTATGTCTTATTCTGATGAATAAGCTATATTATTTGCGTGAAAGAGTAACAAACATCCATCCATACATATAGTTTCGCCTTTATAATATTAGTAAGGAAGTAAGGATATAAACTTTCCTCTTGAATCACTTTATCTAATAAAAAAACCGCATCAAGATCCGTTGCGTCATCAAGATCTAAGCATACTTAGGGACAGACAGACAGCGGGACGACTTTGTTTTATACTATGTAGTGATGATGATCCTTACTCATATTATAAAGGCAAAAGTTTGTATGTATGGATGGATGTTTGTTACTCTTTCACGCAAATACTACTGTATGGATTTTAATGAAACTATACAATAATATAGCTTATACATCAGAATAAGACATGGGCTATAATTTATATACATATTTTATGTACTGTGTTCTGTCTTTCTGTCTGAATGTTACGCCTTCAGCCTATTCTACACAGACGTAGTCACGGGCAACAGCTAGTACAGTATAAATCAACACTAATTTAATGAATCTCCAATTAAGCTGTATGACAACAAAGGTCTGTATTAAAACATGACCGTTAATTATGAATGATATGGGCATTAAGTTGAAGGCGTGCACGATGAAACTCCAGCTATATACCGCAGCGCAGGCCACCGAACGTCGCGATGAAGGCCTATAAATAAGTATTAATTTGATCGAGCACCGAAAATGGAGGGATAAATTGAAATGTAACGCGCTCGGTCGGACGTGAGCGCGCATTCGACGCTTTTTAATTGAACATGATATCGCGACGCAAACAATCGGTGGAAATGTATATTTTAATAACCGAATTGAGCACGAAATTCCGAATTCGAGTCCAACAATAGCCGTAGAGTGCTGTAGTGATTTTTAGGGCTCCGTATCCAAAGGGTAAAACGGGACCCTGCTACTAAGACTCCGCCGTCTGTCTGTCCGTCTTTCACCAGGCTGTATCTCACGAACTCTGATAGTCAGACAGTTGAAGTTGTCACGGATGGTGTATTCCTGTTGCCGCTACAACAACAAATACTGAAAAATAGAATCTTTACTAATATTATAAAGGCGAAAATTTGTATGTATGGATGGATGTTTGTTACTCTTTCACGCAAATACTACTGAATGGATTTTAATGAAACTTTACAATATAGCCTATGTCTTATTCTGATGTGTATAGCTTATACATCAGAATAAGACATAGGCTATAATTTATATACATATTGTTATTGTTGTGTATGGGAGTAGTGAAACGCTTTCTGGTTAGTAACGCAATGCTTTAATGTCGCATATCCACAAGTACTGTGGGCGCAGCCACAGATAATGTATACATACACAACAGTTATGTATAATCTGTCTTTCTGCTTGAATGTTAAGCCTTCAGCCTATTCTACGCAGACGTAGTTGCGGGCAGCAGCTAGTAAAAAAACGGTCATGATTTTTTTTGTGATAGATAACGATACGGAACCCTGCTATGGTTTTTGCTTTCGCATTTCACAACGATACCAGCGCCGGAGCGATTGTTCGGAGTATTCCGCGAAATTTCGACAATCTCTATTGCGATATTTCGACGCGAGGGCCGCTAAGGTTTCTGTCATACCGCGCATTCGTATATCGCATTAATTTCGGAAATTTCGCCGCGGGGGAACACGAGGCCCCGAAAATTCCAATATTCAATTGGTATTTACAATTCGATGGAGCGGGAGCTTATAAATGTACGTAGCCGTTTGTTTTACTTTCGACGATAGAATATAAGTACTGATTATAATATTTACTTGCATACACGTAATTATGTGTATACGTGCCTACTACCCATTGACAATTCAAATTAAAAACATTCTAACATTTGGTTTAAAATAATACACGCACGCATATTATAATAAAGTCCCAGGACCACATTCGAGAACCTTTCTTCACAACGTTCTCTAGAGCTCCCGGCCCATCGCCACTTCAGCTTGCTAATCCTCTGAGCTATGTCGGTCACCTTAGTTCTACTGCGGATGTCTTCGTTACGAACTCTATCACGCAGAGAAATACCGAGCATAGCCCGCTCCATAGCTCGCTGAGCGACTTTGAGCTTCCTCATACGGCCAGCAGTGAAGGACCACGTCTCGGTTCCGTAGGTCATCAACACATTGATTGAAGACTTTAGTCTTCAAACATTGAGGTATATTTGACGAGAAGATTTGCCGTAGTTTTCCCGAACGCTGCCCATCCGAGTTGGATTCGCCGATTGACCCTATAGTCCAAAACAACACTTAGACACTATAATGAATGAAACGATGAAAAAAAAAGGACCCGTTAAGTTTAAACTCGCATCTTAATAAAATCTAAGTAAATTTCTTAGGCTAATTTTATACCTTATTCCATCAAGGACATTTTGAACTTAAAGTCTATCACAGGTTATTTGAATGATTTGATGATGAATCATTTAAATCTTGAATACCCATAACTCTTAAGATAAGATTCAAAGAAATTATTATATGTTATATTATATCATAAATTGCAATCACCTTGTCATTAAGTTGTCACCAATAAATGCTAGGTAATCAAGGCTTTTAAAATTTTCTAATGAAAATCAACTTCTATTTTTTCCAATAAATGCTCGGTAATCAAAGCTTTAAAAAATGAAAATCAACTTCTTATCAAAACGTTAAAGACAAGGCGCAGGCAATATTTGAAGAAGTTTGCGGAGAGCTAATAATTGAATTCCACTGTAGAATCCAGGACTAGTCTGTGGAATCTATCACATAATAGTCTGTTGCCGAGTTGAATCCCGGGGACCGCGAGGAGAGAAGTGCTCTTGCACTAACTTGCACAAATGTTTGCCTTAGAATATGGTCAGCATGAATTGGAACTAGGCTCCGGACAGTTTCCGAATTTAAGTTAAAATTGAAAAATTAATTGTGTTGATACAAAAATATATGATAGAAACCAAATGTTACGTTACGTTGATTATGTTAGATAAATTAGTTAGTTAGATTTTTTAATGAGTGAAAGTGTAAGTGAATACGTTTAAATTTAAACATTTGTAGGAAAATGAACTGAAATTTTATAAGTAGTTTAAAAATGAATACGTTAATTTACTAGACTTGCATTAAACCAATAACAATGCCTACATGTTTACGTTAATTGATAATTTGTTGCTCCATTTAGCGACAAGATCACCGTAAGGCACGTTTGGAACAAAATAAGATCATTGAAACAGACAACACGATCTGTATCTTCCTTTTCCAGTTGCATTATAACGGTCAACGATGGTATTCTAAAGATGAGTAATATAGAATAAACATTTATTATATTATCTTTGCATAATGCATTTGGTCCAAAAATTTGACGCATCCACCCTTTATTTTCATATTGTATCAAATTATCTAAAAAAATAAAGCATGTACACGTATGGGATGAAAATCATGGAAGCTCTAAGGCATCAAATGCTTAGAAAGTTCAGCGGAGCGAGCGGTGGTCTTACGGTAATCAAACTGAGAGACTGGAGCGGTACACGTAGTTTGCCGTCTCTATGTACACTAACGTATCTCTGACCAATATTGTTCGTATGTTCACATAGAGTCGTCTGCATGCTGCGTAGATCGTGTTGTCTCATAATTTGCTAGCTCATATCGTTTTCGAATAATTATGAGATGTCAAGTATTTAAAGCTTAAACTCCAATGATTTTCATAACAAGAACATAAGTACAAGTAAATAAGTAGAGACATTTAACCTTTCATGAGTACAAAGTATTAATTTTCCATTAAAACTTTCTTTTGTCAGTCTATGGCTTAGTCTTTTTTTTTTAATTGCTAAGCGAGCAGGCAGTTCACTCAATGTCAAGTGAATACCACCGCCCATGTACATCTGCTACACCCGAGGGTTGCAGATGCGTTGGACAGCCTTTTGAAAAGCCGGTCTTCTGTGAGGTCGTGGTACTTACCCGGATAAGCCTGCCCATTCGTACAACATCCGAGGCTGCTGCGTGGCCCTACCGTGATTCTCTAATATCATAATACCTAATCTAATATCACCGTCGTATTTAACCTAATAGTCATAACTGTCTTGTTTTTCATGATAAGAACATGATACAAATAGGTATTGTTAAAATGAAATTAAGTCTAGTAAATTAAATAAATAATTATCATTAATAATTACTTATACTTCAAAACCAAATTGTATAACCATACCACGAGTAAACACGTAAACGACATCGTTATCTGATTGATTGTCTGTAATGTACACCAAAGCGATTTTTTTGCTTGAATAAATAAATAAATAAGTTATCTCTGACTATAATAAAAAAAAATAAAGAAACCTAACATTCTCACCTCGTGAGGAATTTCACACGTGTGTTTCCGTCGCCTGTCTCTACATTCATGCCAGTTGATAATGTTGATCGAAATTAAGCGTTACGGCGGCGTCGCGCGTCGCACTTGTATTTTAGCATTTTCCAATCGACAGCGCAAACTAAATTCAGGACGTTTTGCATACAGAGAATATCGTAAATCACCGGGCGGACGTTTATTGAGCGGGAACGAACCGTCGGGCTCGATGAATCGGGACAAAATTAATAATCGTATTACTTTTTCAGCGGAATGCAAATGTTTGACGATTGCGTTGCGGCGAGTGGCGGGCGCTGATATCGGGCGCAAACAGCGCCGGCTGCAGGCGTGTGTTGTGCATCGACGATATTTGCCGGTGCTCGTGTCGACCATAGTCGTATCGACCACGGTCGCGTCGACCATAGTCGTATCGACCATAGTCGTATCGACCATAGTCGTATCGACCATAGTCGTGTCGACCACGTTACGATATTTTTGCTCGTGGCCGAATTGCATAAGGACTTATTCTTTCTTGTCGTCTTCCCTTTTTGCGGTCCTGTTACTGTTTAATATGATGTAATGATATAAAAGTGTGGTATTATATGATTTAAGTTGTAGAAAGGTAAACAATCAATTTGGGAAGATATTACCTGAGAACAATGTCCCTGAAGTAAATCTATACATCAACATGCTAGGTATAGTATATACGGATGGATACACATTATCGATCAGTTTGACATCTTTGGAGTCAGGCAAAGAGTACTCGGATAGAACATATTTATACATATCTATACAGATAAATAAAATTGGAGTGTCTGTTTGTAACATTAAAATAACCGCTTTTTACTAATTGCATATGAATGTATACACGGTACATATTTGGTATATGTACCGTGTATACATCCATATGCATAATAACATTTTTTACAATTTTTGTTTTTCTGTCTGTCTGTTTGTTCCGGCTAATCTCTGAAACGGCGAGACCGATTTAGACGGGACTTTAGCTGATGTAATAAGGAATAACTTAGGCTACTTTTATTTTAGATTTCTTTTTATTTTAAATTCCACGAGGACGAAGTCGCGGGCACAGCTAGTTATATTATAAGTATAGTAAGTAATATCCTCTCCTCATATATTATAAGAAGAGAGGATTGAATCTTCTAGATTCATATTTAGTATGAAATGGTATAGAAGTATTTCATCAAATCCCAATCTGTCTTAACGTTACATCATTTGTCATATCTGAAAGTCCAAACACGGTTTTCACGTTTGACCTTGCAAGGTCATATCAGAAAAAAGTCCGGGGTAAAAAGTGAGTTTATTTCTATGGCAGCTTTATTTAGGTAGAAAATCAATAAGGGAAAATTGCAGAATAATTTTATGGTTGCCCATAAATACAGTTATTGATAATCTGAACGAGTTCATTCTCTATTTCGTTTCAGTATTCAATATGGAAATTTTGTAGAATGCATTATATAAAGATATTCACTTTACTTGTACAGATATACCTACTAGTAGAAAATATATTCATTGGCTGCATAGCAGATGTAGTCCTAATAGAGTGATAGATGGTAATTGATAATCATACAAAATTTATTATATTATATAATATTTTTGACGACCCGAATAGCAAATACAGTCAAATTGAGAACATCCTTTTTTCTTGAAGTCTGTTGACAATGAAATTACTCGTACTAACAAAAATTATTCTACATCACATAGGTGACATCAATGTGCCCGTCCGTTGCGCTTTGGACTAATAAATTATGAAATCTTATGACAAAGACACGCTGGGAGATGGAAAAATCGCGGACGAGTTCGTAAAAGCAATAAGCCGAGCCGAAACACGCTAATGTAGGGCGTATCATGAATAATAAAAAAAGCGCTGTTGATAAACAAAAATACAGTCGTATTGAGAAACTCCTCCTTTTTTGAAGTCGGTTAAAAACTTGCCGAGCAACGCAACCGTACAACGAGGTGTCGGCCTGTGTGGATCTCACTAAATTATTCCCGCGGGCCACTGCGGACGGTTTAATGAATTTTTAATCGAATCACAACGTCGGGCCCGCGAGAGAATTTTACAGATAAATCTTAACGATATTACCTTGAAATAATGAGGGAGTCATTGTGTTTGACGCTCTCCGACTGGGGCTGAGCTACACGAATTTATGCAAAAATAAACAGGTCGGGTTAGAACGGGCTTATGAATGTTACGTTTTCAGAAACTGTTATAAAGGAGGGACTTATTTATTTATTTATTTATTAGACATACTAACAGTATACATATTAAAAAAATTAGTGATATAACAATAAATGATGTTCTTATATGTACACCAATGACAGGTATCTTTATAAATAACTATCTTAACTTTAACTTAAAGTATACCTAAAGGACTTTTATGTATAGTATTAGGTATAATATTAATTTATTTACTATAGTAGGGCGACAAAACATGTTCTGATGTTGCACGAATGGGCAGGCTCGTTCAGAGAAGTATCAGGGCTTTCCAGAAGACCGGCGCGGAGAAGAAGTATTTCTTTCGAAGGCTTTCGCATTTCGTCTGGTGAGTGAGGCTTGTCACCGTATCAGCAAGTCATTGGAAGTTGTTGATATCCATGGGCGGCGGTATTCATTTAACACGAGGTGAACCGTCTGCTTGACTGACAACTTTTCACATAAAGAACCAAGGCTGTGTGCCGACTCGCACATGAAGGGTTCCGTACCATGGAGGTTAGTCAGACAGACCTCGGAGTCTTAGTAATAGTGTCTCGATTCACCATTTGGGTACACGGAACCCTAAAAGTAAAACGCATTGAATAAAATCGGATAAACGTCTATATATTCGAAAATAAACCACTCTGAGAAAGAGATAAAAGCTACTAAAGGGGATTGTCGAGATAAAAGATGACACAATAGCGGTAGCGTCAGCCTCAGATTGCACTTGATAATATATCGTAGCGAAAAAACACACAGACGGACAGATTAATAGTGCACATTCTGAGCGTAAACATGTATCGTTGAACGTTACCGCGCCGTAAGCGGCTTGGGGCTGCGAATAAAAGTGTGTATTATTTATAATGAAATGTATACGAGTGTACCTTTGGATGTGCTTTTCCGCAAAAATATATCTTGAGTGCGGAGATGCACAAAAAAAATTGTCATAAATTTAAAAAGCAAGAAATATCCTCCATATTTCTCTTTCAACTATTCATAATCAAAAATATTTAAAGGTCTCTGGATACTTTGAAGTAGATGTGTCCCAGATGGCGCTAAGCGTGGCTAAAAATTTCACTCCACGCCTTCGAACGAATGAATTTTCCTTATTTTTGTAATGCATACAGCAAAGGAATGAACCACTTAGCCATGCTCAGTTTTCCCACTCATTTATAACAATTAGTTTTTTCAATTCTTTTTTAGGGTTCCGTACTTAAAGGGTAAAACGTAAAAAAACTTAATACTAAGACTCCGCTGCCTGTCTGTATGTCCGTCTGTCACCAGGCTGTATCTTATGAATCGTGATAGTTAGACAGTAGAAATTTTCACAGATGATGTATTTCTGTTGCCGCTAATACACACACACAAATACTACACAGAAACAAAAACAAAAAACAGAATAAAAAACATTTAAGTAGGGCTCCCATACAACAGAAAACACACAGACTAGACATACGTATTATGTGTATGACGGGTACTACGATAATAATTGTTTGAGTTGAAGGTGTTAGTGTAATTTAAAAAAAACTTCTCATAAAATACAAAGCTCTCAATATTAAAAACGTAACAATTCCTGACAAGGTAGAAAAAGACACCTAATGGGATGTATTAATAGTTTTTATAAGTAAATATATTCATTAAAAATGTTACAATAATCTCCACCTTTTAATCAAGAAATTGAGGCGTTTTTAGTGCCTTTTTAACCAACAATTGCTTGTAACAATCCATCAGTTACCATTATTACAACATCACGTATTGTCTTTGGTGAATAATTCTTATTTTAAAAACTAAAGTAAGTAGTAAGTAAGTAAGTAGTAAAGTACTAAAGTAAGTAAGTAGTAAATAGGTTTAATATAAAAATTTAACATTCAAATTACTACGCACATCTGTATTTATATGCAAAATGCATTGAGCTGTTTCAATACATACATATGTGCGTACATAGGAGCAAGTGGAAACTTATAAAAGCGTGTTTATATTTAGGTGAATCACAACCAACCTCCATTCGCATGAAGTCAGGAGACTTGCGATTGTAAAATCAAAGGAACCCGTGAGTCGGTAGCGTAGCGCAATTATGCAAAATTAATGCAGAAATGCCATTTAATTTGCATAGAATGATTAGCTCTAATAACATTGGTTTCTATTCAGTCTGTTTGTTAGTCTCGCCACGACTAGTGCATATTCGCTTTGGGTTCTGATATTTACATGAATATGTAACGTTTATTCACTTGTGCGGTAGTCGGAAGTTGCAGTGTAGAATTGATTTTTATTGTACGTATCTCAAAAGTTGAATTTGAATATATTATTGTTCAAGTATAACTTTTAGAATTACCTACGTAAGTGTTACATTTGTTGTAGGTGTTTTTTAAATAAAAGGGAAGAGTAAACCTGATTTTGATTTTTCACAAATAAGTTCTTCCAACGAGTAGTCTTTATTACTGTTATTTTATATAAAACACCCAATATATGTCCCACTGCTGGGCCAGCAGCTTCGCCCAGCAATGGGATATAAATAGGCTGTTTCTTTCCATTCACTTTTATTGAAACTTAACTCTCAAAGGGACGAGAGGTAACAATATAACGAGATTTAGTATAAAATTGTTATAACTGAGTTGTTTTCTAACACAAGTTACGACTCGATTAATTAAAAAAAAAGAATATAAAATTCATTAGAAATCCTATCCACTCCAAATCTAATCCCAAAGTTACACAATTTCTATAAATTTCTGTGAAGTTGAAACTGTCAATAGCAGATACAGTTACGACAACTTTGATGAATATGAAACAATCGTTACATTGAATTGTATTTTAGAGACAAAAAGCATCCAATTTCCATAGTTAAAGGCCAATTGAATATTTCACCGCATTACGTGCAATATTGACTAAGGTTTTCTTTGATTAAAGTTCAATGAAACCAGCAGTTTGATATTTGTATTGTCGAATTATACTTTGTGTTAAATTCTATGAACCAGAATACATGTATTGTATACGTATCATAATAAAATTATGATAAAATAAATATGAAGTTTCAAGTTACAAAGCGATTACTTAAAACTCTAAACACTTTCTATAGACTTTTGATAATGTGCCAACCACCCGTCAATTTTCATATAGATAATCAAATACTTGAAGGAAAACATCGTGAGGAAACCTGAATATTTTCGAAATAATAACAAAAAAAAAAATATTTCGAAGATATGTGAAGTCCGCCAATCCGCAGTGGGGCCGCGTGGTGGACTATGCCCTGACACCCTCTGTATAGAGGAGGCCTTTGCCCAGCCGTGGGACATGTATAGGCTGT